CTGCTGATAAGCCCTCTCCCTATTACACTCTTAGAAGATCACTCCTAGATAACTCTGAGGCTAGTTCTCACTTCTCTGGCATGTCACGTCAATCATAGTTTCTAATTTCTTTGGCACAGGATATTGCCTCTCCATGGAAAGGACCAATGTGCACTTCTGATGCCAATTAGTGAGGTAATGGTGGGATGGGCAGAGGCTGAAACTGCTGGCTACAGCACTGGAAGGAAAATGTCTGTGTGACATCAAAAGCTGACATTCACAGTAACCCCAACAGCAACGATGTTGTTTCACATGGGGGCTGTCTGCGACGTAGCTGGTTTCTAAATGTGAAAGTGGTTATAAGATCTCACAGCGAAAATGACAGGGCACACTGAGCAAAGGAAAGCATTGATCATAGCAACAGTTACAGTCCTCAGCAGTGGGACAGCTGATTAAAAATAGATCCCGCTTACCCTCCATGCTTGTGCTTTTGTGTGTTTAGTGGTTTATTGATTATTCAAGCATGTGTGGTATGACTTCCGGTGCTTCCCTTGCACCCAAGTGTGGCTCAAAACATCTTCAATTCGTAGCCGGTGGGACACATTGGGCTGCAGCATTCGGAAAATAAGATCTTTGCATTCTTGTGTCAAGAAGTCTGGGAAGATTACTCTCCGCTCTTTCTGTAGGCGGACCATTCTCTTAACATTGGAGTCGTCATATGGCATAAACCCACAGACCATCACATACAAAATGACGCCTAGACTCCATATATCATAAACTTTGGGCTGATAGGGAATACCTTGTATCACTTCAGGAGCTGCATAAGCAGTCGAGCCACAGAAGGTTTGGCTAAGGATCATTCTCCCATTCTCATCCCAAAAGCACCGTTTGGAAAAGCCAAAGTCAGACAGCTTGATGTTCATGTCTTTGTCCAGTAGGATGTTGTCACACTTCAGGTCCCTGTGGACAATGTCCAAATCGTGACAGTATTTGACGGCACAAGATAGCTGGCGAAACATTTTCCGTGCTACTCCTTCAGGTAAACCCCGGTTGCTCTTGATGAACTCCAGTAAGTCTCCGTGTACACAGAGCTCCATGACTATATAGACTTTGCCAGATGTCTCAAAGATCTCGTATATCTTGATGATGGAACAATGGTTTACATTTGCCAATATCTCCAGTTCCCTGGGGAGAAATTTTTCCAAGAACTCAGCAGAAACTCTTTTCCTGTCGGTAATTTTCACTGCCACGTTAAATTTCAGGTGCTCTGAGTAGGCAGATTTCACTTTGGCAAAAGAGCTCTCCCCTAAATTGCTCCCCATGATGTAACCTTTTCTTCTGAGGACTGCAGCATCATCCATGGTGGCAAAAGCAGCAGGTGCCTTGGAAAGTGAAGCCTACAACTCTTCTGTATGTAAGCAAGCCTTGTATTTCTTTGCCCTGCATTATGGTTGTCTCTGGTGCCTGAGTCCTTTGGAGATGACTGCTGTGATATTGCTCAACATTGTTTTAGTGATGATGTCAACATCTGAGGTCATAAAGCAGAACTGTTCAGGAGTGGTGACTGAGGGTATAATTCAGTCACGTTATAACAGAGCACCACATGCAAGGGCAATGACATTTACGCATCCACAAAAACAGAAGTCACCTCATGTTCTCTAATCTTATTAGCAGAAGACTGTTCTACCTTAAAAGGGAAAGAGGATGATTTAAAAAGATATCCCCCTTGTTCCTGAAATTAGAACTGCTTCTTTCCAATTATTTCCTCACCTCAGGATTTGGGTAATATTTATGTCTGCTTCTGAGCTTGCTGCTCTATGTGTCTGTTGCAGTCTCACCATACTTTTATATTCTCAGCTTGAACTTTTCTTGCCTAAAAATTGCCCAACCTTTTAATTTAGTCTAAAGTATTATCCCTGGAGGTACTAGGTAGATATATAGCAAAGGGAAATTACGTAAAGAAAAAGGTAAGGCAATGCTCATTCCCTACTGTTTCTAAACTATAGCGGTAAGCAGTTGCTTTTCAGCATGTGTATGTGTATGCAAGACTCCATTATAGATGCCTATGACCAGGTATCTGTCGGAGACAAGAGCAGTGTGATCTGGGGAAGCCTAGCAATGGAAAAAGTTGGCCAAACCCAACCCCGATTAGAAGCAAAGGAAACAAAGTGAGAGCCCGGGATTTAATATGGCTAAAATAAAAGCAATCCTGCAAGTTATGCACAAAGATATAAATGGGTTAGAAAAACAAAAGCAGAAATGAGGATTTTAATGTGAGCTGCTTAAAAATTTTCAAGAGGAGGTTGGAAAATACTGATTTGTCACAATAGACTTGTTTCACAAGCATGTATCAGTTCAGATGGAATTTAATTGTGTAATAATATTTGAGATGGAGCATTTTGGTTAGGTTGGGATATTCCTTAGGGGTAACGGAACATGTGGATTATGTTTGCTTAGAAGTGACTTTGTTGTAAAATATTATCATATAAATTATGATATGAAATTATAAACGATCAACAGTGAAGAGATTTGTTTTATTGTGAAGAACTTTGTTTTATTGAAATGCTGTTTCAATACTGTAACATTAAAATTTTGAGTTTTGTACTTCACAAGAAATTTCCAGGTTCTAGTTTTTTGTTCCAATTTAGAATTAAGGTGTTTTGTTTTGTTGTTTTTGTTGTTTTTTTAAATGTCAGTATTTCCAGCAGAATGGAAACTATGGCTTCTGATCAGCTGCTATCATATCAGAAGGGCAAACATTTGTATGAAGACTTCATGGAGATGCAGATCAGGCTGATGTCTTCCTCTGGCTATCTTCTTAGACTTTCTGGGGAATTTCCAGTGCTTACAGCTTTCTCAGGTAAGAGCAGATGAGGTGAACAGGCTGATTTTCTCCTTATGACTGTGCGGGCTGGGAGCGGTCTGAGGCCCTCGGGGGCGCGCGGCGGGCTGTGGCCAGCAGCCCTGGCACACGGGTCGGGGAATGCAGGCCGGCGGACTATAATTAGGCACGGACGTGTAGCGGTTGATTAAAGATTATTTTACTTACACTGTAGATGGTCGCGGTGCAGGCAGGAAAACTTGCTTGAGTTGCGGTTACAGACAGGAAAGAAGAAAAGCGGACAAGAGTTCCTTCAACGCGAACTCTAGCCCAATCCGGTTGAAGGCTCTAAACATGCGAGCCCATCGCGTCAACCGAAGAAAACAACTCGGAGAAGAGCTCTGGATACACTCACACGAAGTTTGCTAGGCTCCGTGGAACTTGCGCGCAGGGAAGGGGTTCGTCGAGGGATCATTCGGCGACGGGGAGAGGCCAGAGGTTGATCAGACCCCTATAGCCTTCTTAAGGTACACGCTGGGTCCGATGGGCTCCGCAGCGCTTAGAGATCTTCACGAGACATGAAGTCCTCCTCCTCCTCCTCCAGATGGTTGTGGAGTCCTCCCTTGCGGGGTTCTCCTTGGAGTTCTCCAACTTGGGCGGAAACCGCTCAAGCCTCTTATACGGCTAGCAAGCCAATCGCTAGCCGCCACATGGGAATAATTTAGAACTGGCCAATAGTGGGACACAAATTTGCATGCGGGTGGCGGGAACTCCTTTGCACCGTGCATTTCTCTTTGCAACTGAGAAATGCACCCTGCAAAGAAAGCTCCGAGTGGCGGGAAATAATTTAGCAGTGCCAAAGCGCGCACAAACAAAATCACACCCTTGGGTTGTGACAATGACCTTCCAACAATCAATCAAATCCCATGCGACTTTGTGCGTCCATCACCACGTAGCAGATTACAGCAACCGAACGCTCTCAATTCATTCTCCCTCCAATGCATATAATGTACATCCATCCATTTTCAGCCTTGCAGATGCCTAGCAGATCTGGTTGTTCAGCACCTTCCTGTAACATGTCTACATAGCAGTTAGCATACAGATGTTACAAAGAGCTAACCCACTGCTCTATGCTTGGCGCCTATGCCAAAGGAAAGATGTTGGATTTGCTCTTTTACTCCTTGACACAAAGTGCTGGGAAAGCAGAAGTAGCAGTTGGGAAAGGGTTAACTCTAGCTTGCTCAGCAGGGATACACACTGGTAGAAAACTCTCCTGGTATCTCTTTCTCTTACAGGGCTGCAGCGTTAGTGCTAGTACATGCTCTTTTCCCTAGCTTGAAAGCTTCCCACCCCCTTTAATTAAGTCTAAAGCAGTATCCCTGCGGAGGCTGGCTGTACTGATGCCAGGTTTATAGCTGTAGAAAGGGGAAGATTATGTAAAGTTGTTGTCACCCAACCACACCAGCACAAAGTGAAAAGGCTCTTGTACGTGTACTTGGGACTCCTGTCACACGTGTTGGTGACAGACACGCCTGCAGAGCTGGGGGAAGCTGGCTCTGGGACAGGTTGGCCAAGCCCGGAACCATGGGGCAAGGTTCTAGGAGTTATAGGAGTTCACTGTTGGAAGGCACAGAACTTTCCAGCAGAAGACATCCCTTTGCAGAGGCAATGATTAGTACTTGTTCATATTGCTAGTGGCCCATGTTTATTTATGTGGTAGAAACTACCCTGGGCAGGGGAGTAACCTCCCTGATCTCGTTATAACTCACTGCCAAATTGGAGCATGCTATTGAGAGAAGGTCACTACAAGACCGGTCTCTCTCATTTTCCTTATAACTGGGAGAAACTGGCCGACAGAGACAAGGTGAAGAAAGTTACCTCTGTGTTGCTGTCAGGTAAGGTAGAGAGAAATGCATATATAGAGGAACAGTGTACACATTAGGTGAACTACTGGTCTATCAAAGTCAATGGCAAAACTCCCACTGGCTTCAATGAAGCCAGGATTTCAATCATTAGTTCTAACTAAAGAAGCAACCTTATGCTCTGACAAGTCCTTAATTCCTGATAAGTTGGTAGAATTACACGTTGACTCACTTATTCCCAAAAGACCACCCTAGCCCTGAGGCATTTAGACTGTAAGCAGTGCAACTCAGGGACTGACTTCCTTTGATTATTGGCAAGTGCTGTATGAAAAGCGAAGTAATACTTCTAAAAAAAATTCTATAACAGATGTGGCATTTTGCAGAACAAATATCAAGGTAGGATACCTGCCTCAGGGAGGGGCCAATCTAAGTAGTGATGTGTTGCACTGTGTAAAGAAACAAAACAAATAGTCTGGTGTGAAGAAGGGAATGAACATGAAAACTTCATTGGATTCTAGCTCAAGCCTTTGCCTCAGAGTAGTTACATCCCATCCGTAAAAGGATTATGTGGTTACTCACTTCATGAAAACATGCACATGCCATAAAAAGATAGTTTTATAATAACCTCCGAAACTTGAATTATCACTCTCCTCCCTTAGCTTCACAGACCTCTAGATTGGGACACTGTCTCCTACTCGGCTTTGGGAAAAACTGCTGCAACCAGGGATTTTAAGGCTTCTTTGAGACTTTCCTAACTCCACCACCACCCCATCTGAATTGGAGCAACACCTATGTCCAGACTCCTAAAGAAGCCTGTCATCTGGAGAGTCCTAATTGATCTTTACAATTAGGTTCTTAGGTATTTCCCTCCCGGATGGGTGTTGGCACCTGGGATGTGTTCTTCACAGCAGGTATGGGAAGTCAAACCAATTTCTGTAATTAGAAAGCCTATGCATACTGTGAGTGAATACCTCTTGTGCCAGGAATGAGGCAATGCTGGATGTTTTCTTGCAGCAGTAAGTGTTAGCTTGATTTCAGCAAGATTTTTTTGTGAACCTGAAAATCAGCGCTGAAAAATGTCTCTTTGTGCAGTTGGCAATATTAGCAGAGGCAGAGGGGAGCACAGACCAGCTCACTTCTGCATCGGTGCTAAGAGAATTGGGTGATGAGATGCCTAGGAGTGCTGTAGATGAGGCAGAGTATTAATGTTATAACCCTTCAGCCAATTGCGACTGCTTTTGGGGCCTAGGGGCAAATCAGTTTCCATTGTTAGGAAACATTTGTGTGATTTGTTTATATACCATGTGTATGTGTTGATCTTGAACAGAGGAGGTCGCATCAGAATACTCTTCACATCATTAGTTCAGTAACTGGTGGTTAAGCAGAGATGCCTCTATCACTGCTTCTCTTGATGTCCAACCACTGCAACATCCTCTCCTCCTCACTGAACAATTAAGGTCTTGTCTAAACTGTCAGAGGATCATGCTAGGAAGTGCCATGATGTGCTCTGTGCTTGTGCTAAAAGGTCTGCTGTTTCAGACGGGCTTACTGGCCTGGTTCAAGAATGCTTACTGCTGCATGCCCACTGCTGTGCTAAGGTGGGGGGGTCTGTTGTATTCATTTCAGAGTGTGGTGTGCATGGAGCTTGTGCTGTGCTTCTCATCATGGTCCTGTGATG